AAGAAAAAGGATTGCCGCTCTTCTTTCCTTTCCAGCCACCGTGGTTACTATTGTTAGTAGCTTTTTGCTTTGCCAGGTCATCTTCGATTTCAATTCCGATGTCATAAACGGCCTTGAAAGTATTCAAATTGTGTTGATATTTTAGGTGCTTCGAATACTTTTCTTGGAGATTCTTGATAAACATCCTCACGGATTCCTTTTCGGTGGGGACTTCAATCATCTTAGCGGAAGTTTCCCTCCACTTATTAAAGAAAGAAGTAAAGCCTTCATTTTCCTTTTGTCTTAGCATCTCTAGTTGTCTATGATCGGTTTCAACTTGGATATTGCACTTGTACCTATCAACGAAAGCGTTTGCTATCGATTCCCAGGTAGAGGTTTTCTCCTTGTCAAGGGAGAAGAACCATTGTTGGCAAATGGTTTCAAGAGATAGTGAGAACAGAGAGTGAAAAACCTTCTTATCGATACCCTTAATGGTCATTATAGTTTCAAAAGCTCTTAGATGGAAGTAAGGGTTATCTGTTGCCTTGAATTTAGGGATGTCGTTGGCATTGAACTTCTGAAGAAAGGAGATCTTTGTCCACCGAGACCCCTTGTGATGTAAGCTCTTGAAACTTGTAATCGCTAGACAACTTGCTTAGGCTCTCTTGCATGAGGTCCATCTGTTGTAGCTTCACGGGATCATCAACCTTGAGGGTGAGTAGCTTCAGTGTTTCAGTCATGGTAACCAATTGGTTCCTAAGTTCATTGACTTCTTCTTGAGTTGCCATTATCTTCTTAGCCTTTCTCTTTTGACGAATCGGTTTATCAAAAAGCGAGACTTGAACAAAGAGGTTGTCCTTGATTAATCGCCTTTCTCTCCTTGACCAAGTACTGTGGAAAAGGAATTTGGGGATACTTATTGTAATTATTTGACTCAAACTTTATTCAACATGCAATGGATGGAGGAGGTGAAGAAAGATCGGAATAGAATGTGAAAGAAGATTTAGATGGAGGGATATGAAGAATTAGGAATAGAATGTACTCCCAACTCAAATGACGGAAAAGACCGACTCATGCATGAACCTAAGACATGGCCATGGTGGTGTGTACTCAAAGTGTGTGCTAAGACTAGTGAGTGTAGGTGACATGTTAAGACTCGTGTCATGACCATGTGGCTAGACTATGTGACCAAGACTCGATTAATGACTTGACACGGTGTTATTGACAGCGGAAATTAACCGAATTAATTAGTAAACTGGTTAATTAGACATTAGGTGATGACTCGACAAATAATCCGAACTGTCGGCCAAGCGACAGGATTGGCGTCACAATATGGTGATTGGCGCCAGACTTTTTAGTAAATGTATGGCGCTACACACCATACAGTGGCGCTACAGCTCAGATTTTGGCACCAATTTTGGAACCTCGGTCTGGGACTGTTTTCGGTATTATTAGTCAACTGGGGTATGCCTAAAGTCGTACTAGGTCAATTCCGATTTAAAAGAAACTTTATTGACTCAAATTAATTAACAAATTAATTAATTAGGCAAAGTTCTTTAAGTCATTAATTATAATCTCAACACAAATCAACAAACGGTTAAGAGGAGCATGGAATATATATGCACAACAAATAATGCACAATTAGTCAAGTAGGCACAATATGATGCAATGAGTTCGCAACCTAACCATGGCTCTAGTTCTCTAAAGTTCGGGATATGGTTTAGTCAAATAGGGTCCACGGTTAATTGTTCAGATGAACCGCGTAGAAGCCTAACCGTGAAGGGTTAACGCGTGTGGATAGAACACCGAAGTTTTTTAGAAAAAACTCACTTCCATGGTTTGGTGAATACAACATCTCAGATGTACCCTTTGTTGCCAGGAGCGTTCAATCAGATAGATAGAGCATGAATTCCCAGAGGGTTATGTCCATATGTAGAACACATATGGGTTTCAGAAAAGTGAGAAAAAATTCAATCAGGAAGTAGGATCGAGCAAAAAATACGAAAAACCGGTCAAAATTAGAACGCATATTTTGGCTCGGTATTGGGGGAAATTGGCGCCAGCAAACAGAGACTGGCGCCAACTTTTAACTGTAGCGCCTGGTGCCAATACTGGCGTCTGGCGCTACGGCTAAAAGTTTGGCGCCAAGCTCTGGCCCCTGACGCTACTTCCCACATGCCTCAGCAGCTTTCTGTGCTCAATAAAATCATCCAGTTTCGCGCGGTGTTATTTCAGTCCTAGTTGTGAAAGACATTTCTCAAATTTCCTACGTGTAAAATCCTATGTTTTGACTCATTACGGATGGTCTTTCCAATGAGAACCTTTTTATGCATATGACAATAATGTTAATCAAAATTACGCACATGAAATACTTAGAACTTTTCGAGTCTCATCCACTCATTCTAAATCATTGCCGAAACAAATTCAGGAATTAAAATAGAAATCCTCCCCAGTGGAGTCGCCAAAAACTGTAGGGAATATTTTCAAGCCTTAAAAATCCCACTAGCTCGAACCCCACTGTGATCATACACTAAAGTACAGTGGCGTCCAAAAGGGAAAAGATAGAGCAAAAGAGTCGCCAACAAGTTTTTAAGGAACTTGTAAACCATTCACGAGGTGAAGGTTACACCCCTTAACGATCCAAGAGATCGTCAACTCCATAAGGTCATGAACCAAAATAGGGTTCGGGGATGATGGTACAAATCCAACCTAATAGAGATTGAACCTGCCCTAATAATAGGCCTCTGCTTTATTCTGCTCGTATTCATGTGCGCTTTCTAACTAACATACAATCAATAGGATTAACCCTAAACCTGTTTAATCTATGTTGGTTGAATTTAATGCACAAATAAACTATTATTGGTGATCACTTGAATTATAATCACAATTAACCTAACAAGATTATTAATATCTTATTAAGCGTGATTGCAAAAACCAATTCCCTTTAACCTGCAATAAAAGGTGATCAAGCAACAACAATATATAATAATAAACATTAGAAAGAACATAGGAAGCATCATACTTTAAATCATACTTGATATTAAAGATACCCTAGACATGATACTAGGAATATCATAATAACAATATAAACATGATGTCTACATCATAAAATCAATAAATCAATAAAGTACTTACTTGGATGCCTCGTACCTCTTTCTAATTACAAAATACACACGTTAGTAATTTCAAGAAAAATAATAAACAAAGCAATTAAATTAAATAATAGAGATTTGGGACCAAACCCTCAGAAATTAAAACCTTTCACGCCTAGGGCAAAGGCAACTTCGAATATGGCTAGGTGTATCTAGATCTTGTGAATGCGGAATTTTGTATGAAAAAGCAAGGTTTAGAAAAGAATGCTAAAAGATTAATGTTATTGAAAATTGATGAATGAATGATGAAGATGAAGAGAGTTGATGAATAATTTTGTAAAGAGATTGTTGATGAATGATGATTGTAGATGGTGAAGATAGATGGTGAATTCGTCAATGAAAACGGAGTTTTGATACGATATTTATAGAGAAAAACATCCAAAAAAAGATAATTTATCAAAACAGAGTCTGAAGATCGCAAAACCACCTTGGCGCCAGCCCTGGCTCATTGGCGCCAAGACCAGTGGCTAGGGCAAGGCGCCAATCCTGATTCCAGGCGCCAAGGCCTGGGGTTGGACGCCAAATTGGATTTCAACGCGTTTTCGAAAATCTGATAAAATTCCCGTACTGGAAGATAAAATAATATAATTTCAGTCGAAAATGCTATTTGATCTAATTAAAACTCTAAAGAATCCTAATTGAATTAAGAATGATAAAAAACTTCTAGAATGTTCTAGAAGACCAAAACCATTTCTAATTACATTAGGAATGATAAATCATATTAGGCCCTCCCCTAGATCATTGGGCTGTACTTAAAACTCAAACCGGGCCTAGTTTAGTAAATTGGCCATAAATTCCTCAATACTCATCGGAATTGGGCTTATGATATATCGTTGGAAAGGTCTTTGCAAGCCCCATCCAACTACACCACTATTGGACCCATATCATGGACCAACCAAACTGGATTGGCTGTTTTCCTTAAAATAAAGTTTTCAAAAACAGAGAGAAGAGAAAAGAAAAGAAATAAAACTTTCCGCAACACTAGACCTTTCCACACTTTCATTTCATTCGATTATGATTCGACGTGAAAGACACTCATCACTGGGTTTGGTTTTGGGGAGACACAAATGGGTGTCTACAGGTATGTATTTTTGGGAGAAATGAATTGGATATTAGTATTAATTTATGATCGTTTGTATCTAATGGTGGAAAGTATCCATATGGTGTGAGGATGAGTATTGTGGTTATTATTTAAAGCAAAATGGATGATGGTTGAATCTTTGGAGAAACTTAATACAAAAGTTAGAGGATTTTGAATCAATTCAAGTGAAAGGATGTAATTGAGATAAATGTATTTATTTTAAATCGAAGTTTATTTTGAAGAAATAATATCTTGTGAAGGGATTTATTGAAGTTAGTTAAAGGAATTATTGTTTGGATGGTTACTCAATGAATTTTACTCTAAGGGATTGACGACAAAGTTAATTGATACAGAGAAGTTATCAGTGAAGGAATAATCAATGATTTGCATTTAGTTATTAAAGAATCACCTTAACGATGAGTTATGAATTATAATAACCAGATTGAAGAACTTGAAGTTATGAGAAAATATGATCGAGTTTTTAAATGTTTAAAACATTATGAAGTGACCAAGAGTTAATGATTACGATTTAAGGAGGTATTACAAGGATTTATAAATGTGTTGGGGAAATTATTAATACTTTTGGAGGATACCCTAAGATAAGTTATTAATCTATGAGCGATAAGAAAGTCAAGATAGGATCACCACTACAAAGTTGGGTTTAAGTAACACCCATTAGTAACACTTTAAATAATTTATGATTGTTTGATAAGGTAACACTTTTGTAACATTATGGTACTAAGTAACATTTTTAGTAACACTTTAATATTATGTACCCTTTATGGTAACACTTTGATATTAGGTAGCATTTGGTTGTAACATTAAGTTTATTTTATTTTATTTATTTTTGTTTTTTTTTGAAGAAAAACACTTAATTTGATATTCTCAATTTTTTTTTGTGTTATTTTTAGGAAAAATGTAAACTAATAATCCCACCTTTTGAAATTCCAATAACAATTCCACCTTTGGTAGGGGTCTTTCATTAACAATCCCTGACCGGTTTGATTAATATAGTAACCAGATTTCTTAGGTTTAAGACACGTGTCGGATTTTAATAGAGTTATTCTAATTTTTAATAATTAAAAAAAATAGCAAAATTAATTTAAAAAAACTAAAACCCCTAACCTCTACTTCGGCCTGCCGCAGCCCCGCCACTGCATTCCCCTCCCCATCTCCCGCCCTTGCTTTCCCCAGCAACCCAACTTACCCCCCAAGGTGCCGGATCCAACCACTGCATTCCCCACCGCATCGCCGCCCTATCCCCGTAGTAGTGTTAGTCATCAATGGCGGATTATTAAGATCAGTTTCCAAGGAAAGTAATAAACCCTTAGTGAGAACCTTACAACTTTCTTCCTAACTCATATTTCTTCGTCCCTCTTAATTCATTGTCTCTTTCACCGCTACCCCCTTTTCGCTCCCGGTGCTCCCTATAGCCACCGTCCACCATAGCCTCCCTCTGCCGCAACAACCCATGCCAACGATTGCAATCTCTAGGCCTCCATCCTTGGGGTCTTCCACCTTTAAGTTAGGGTTACGGTTAGTTCAGGTCCCTCTCCTTTCCAATATCAACAAGATTTTGAGCTAGTTAAAGTTAGGGTTTCAATTCCCCTTTTCAAATCTTGTTGATGATTTCTTAATTTGATGTTGAATTTGCCTATTAAAAGGTTAATTTCACTATTTTCATACTAAAATTTGCGTGCATATTGATCAAAGTATTTAGATGAGTTTGGGATTTTTGTTTTTTCTTCTTTTCAGTTTTTTCCTTGTAATTTGATCTTCGTTGGCTAATCCTTGTAATTTTTATTTTTTCTAAACTGATTCCTCTTAAGCTTGTCGAGAATCCAAGTCATTTGGGTGAACGAGATGCAGAAATCCAAGGCAATACCAGTTATAATCGGAGGAATGGTGTTTGATATACTTCCTACTGCCAAAATGACCATTTCTAACAAGGTTATTTAATTATTATTATTTTAAGCTCTAATTTTGGAATTGGATTTTTATTTTTCAATTTCCCGATACTTTTCTTATTATTAGTTGTTACTTTTGTAAGAAATGTGTGATAATTGCGTGAGTTTCCACATTATCTAAGCTTTAATTTTGTGGGGGTTAATGATTATTTTGCTAATTTTCTGCAATTCACTCTTTTTTTTTTCTAGATTTTGCTTGATTTTTTTTTGAATTTAAGGTGCCAGATGAGTTTAGCTTCTACCTCAGTTAGAAAACTCAGTTTTAATACTCTGTTTATATCTTACTCTCATGGCTACATTATCAGTTACTTCTAGTCAAGCTCTCGGTTGTACAAGGAATAGCAAATTAGCATGATAGTCTTACTTTACTGTAAGGTGGTACACTAGTACTTATAAGAGATATGTGATGACTAAAGTTTGAATGAGTAATTAAAATATGCATTAATTTAGTGCTAGCAAGGTATGTGATTTATCTAAATCTCACTATATTAGTGTGTCTTTCTTGTTCATCTTAGTTATAAGAGCTGCATATTAGTCTTGTCCATATGATCATCATGTCGAGTAGTACTCTAGATAGTAGCTAAATCATATAGAGTAACTATGATGTTGCTGATAGTTAGAGTTATTGTGGACCCATGAGTCAATAGGTGTCACTATGTCAGTGTTGCGTTAAGACATTTATTCTGAACTCGTAGCCATCTATAAAATCTTATTTGCTAAACATAGACACTTCTATGGCATGGCATAAAGCAAAGGAGTGCATCCAAGCCCAAATCACATATACTGCAAAATAGTTACAACTCTTTTGTATAATGCTCACCTATGCTGAGAGCCAGATAGTGTGCGAGCATGAGAAAAGAACTAAATTTGCACATATCACTATAGTGTATATTTCTTTGTACTTTTCTTCTACTATCATACTTGGCCTATCTAATGAAAATTCTTATAATGTTTAAATATACAAGTTTAACTAGATATTTTTTTAGGGATTGGTCAATAAAAGGTGAAAAACATAAAGTAAGCAAATGCTTCCCATTTCTGTATTTTACTATTTTCTTTTTTCTTTGCCTGCTGAACATGGGTATATTCATTTCATTTTCTTGTATGGCATAGTGTTTACCTCAATCTCGTAATTACTGATGCCAAGTTCTACAAAAATCTTCTAAGATATTAAATGTATCTATTTGATGTGATTTCCGTCCAAACCTTTACCTATGAATACCATGACCTGCCCAATGATATCAAACTTTGTGCAACTTTCAGCATTAAATTAGAGCTCAATTCATATGCTATTGTATAGTGTCATTGTGATTCCATTGTACAAAAATTTTGGTAAAGAATAATCAAATAGAAATAATAAAAATGATGATTTAGACTTCTTGTGTTCTGCTTTAAACTTAATAACTCATTAACAAGGTGTATTTTCGGGGTGTGGGGAGGGGGGATGTTAGCTGTTATTTACTTAAAGGCTTGAGTAGTAATAGTTGCTGCGACTTTTTGGACGTGATACAGAATTTAAGTTATAACCTGTGATCATCTCTCTGATGTCCATGACTTTGGAAAGCATGCATATAGAGATTCGTGATAGTTATCCTTTCTAATAGAAAAAATTGCTTGGATGCTTCTTTTTACCCTTGCATCTTTTATTTAAGAAGCTCTTCCTATTTATCAGAGAGTGCTATCATCTTGGGCGTATCTTTATGTAATAAATTGCAGCAACTTTAATTGAGAATAACCTTGATTAGGCAGTGTTTAAAACCTCGAGTTTACTTAGGTTGTAAGAAACCTGGTCGTGTCCTGCTCAAAAGTACATTTTATTTACCCTTAGACTATTAGTTCACACTTTTTTTGGTTCCCATTATATTTACTGATGCTCTTCCATTAATGAGCAGGGGAGTGAGATACCATGAGTTAGAGCATTGGAAGTTCAAAGACGATGGAAAAAAAATACTTCCGCCATGCTTCAGGGCCACAAAAACATGCTTCCTTATATGTAGCTGCCAATGATACTGCTATTGTTGCTGCTGGTGCTAATGTCTACTACAGTTATGATGTCTGTTGCTGCTGATGTTTGTTGCTACAGCTGCTTGTTGGTCTCGTACTACTGACTAATGTTACTGCAAGTTGACGCTTGATGCTATTACTTATAGCATAGTACTGCTGACTGCCGTTACTGCAAGCTCCTTCTAGCCACTGATATTGCTAGCATGGTACTTTTAAATGCAGTTACTATTAGCTACTGCTAGCTGTTGTCTATTAGCTACCGCGATGATTTTTTTTTTTTTTAAATAAATATTGTGCTAAACATGTTTGTGAATTTGGCGGTCAAGCTAGAGACCAAGGTTCACTTTCTTTTTGTTTTGTTTAATAAATTGTTGAGACAAGAAAAAAATTGTGTTGATGGATACTTTTTAAAGAAGCTATGAAATTTTATCAATTCAAATTATTGTCTATTGTACGTGTTAATTTCACATTCATGGTTGTTGTACATGTTAATATTATTAATATTATTTTATATTTAAGAAAAAGAAAAGAATCACATATTGTAAATAATAATACTAATACTAATAATAATAATAATAATAATAATAATAATAATAATAATAATAATAATAATAATAATAATAATAATAATAATAATAATAATAATAAAAATAAAAAAAAATCAAGAGGTGATCCCCTTGGTCTTTTGCCTTTTGCTTTGGTTTTACATCCCTGGTGTGTAAAATAAATCAGAGAGACTTTTGATGTATGTCTTCAGGCTTGGTATTTGGATGACGACACTATTAATGGTGACACGTTGGTGGTGGGGAAGGTTTTACAGTTGATTATGGAGGAAGGGCCTCGTTCTGGATTACGTCTTAATGTGGAAAAAACTGAAGTATTCTGTCCTACAGAAGACCCTTGAAGCAGGCTTGTGGGTGTCTTTCCATCTAATATTGCTCGACCTTTGCATGGTGTTAAGTTGCTTGGTGGTCCCGCTAGTTCTGATTCTTATTTTAGTGGTGAGCTTGTGATGCAAAGGGTGACCAAGATCATTGCCCTTATGGATAAGGTTGCTATGCTAGATGATCCTCAGTGTGAGCTGCTGTTACTTAGGGCATGTACCGGAGTTTCTAAACTCTACTTTGCATTGCGTACTTGTCCTCCTAGTAGCTTTGAGACGGCTCAACGCTTTTTCGACGGGGCTCTTCGATCTTCCTTGGAGCGTATAGTTACTGCTTCGGGACCTGGGTTTGGCGACTGGCAGTGGCGGCTTGCCACCTTACCATTTGCGTTTGGAGGGCTTGGTGTTTATTCTGCAGGTGATGTTCGTTACTATGCTTTTCTTGCTTCTCGGTTGCAGTCTGCTGGGTTGCAGACACAACTTCTTCGGCAAGTCTGTTTAATGGAACAGTGGAGTATGACATTTTGAGTAATCCTAGTGAGGTCATTGCCCCTAAACTCATGAAGAAATTGGCAGATATATATTTCACAAAGGTTACCGCTTCTGCAGAATCTGCTTATTCTTTAACTCCTCGACAATCAGCATTATGGAAATCTCAGCAGGGAGATCACACCTCTGCTTGGCTTCAGGCGGTCCCTATTTCAGGGTTGGGTCAGACAATGAACGCTAAGATTTATCGCTTTGTGCTGTGCTACCGATTGGGTGTTCCATTGTTCTCTATCACAAGCCGTGCTCTGCTTGTTCAAGGGTTTTTTCTAGAGATATTTTCGGTGATCACGCGATGTCTTTTGTTGGTATTGTCGGCATTAAACATCGGCATAATATTGTTCGGGATACCCTTGTTGTTGTTTGCTATCGGTCAGGGATTTCAGCTAGAAAAGAGGTGGACATTGGGTTGTCTGGAGGGCACGACGAAGCTCTCAGACCTGCAGATGTGTTACTTTATTCATGGGATCGTGGTCTCGATGTTTGTGTTGACTTGACAGGGTCTTCTCCATTGACACAACCTGGACTATTTGACTTTGTTCCTAGACGGGTAGTGACTGATGCGGCCAATCGGAAGCGGGTCAAGTACGAATCCAGTTGTCGAGCGATTGGATATGTCTTTCTTCCTTTCTCTTTCTCTTCTCTTGGGGAGTTAGAAAAGGAGACTGTTGCATTGCCGAAGCGGATCAAGAGGTTCTCGAATACTCAGGACATTGGGGCGCGTGCTGCAACTCATATCTTTACTAGGATCGGCTTTTCTATAGATAGAGGAGTGGGGGCCCAGATTGTATCTCGGCTTCCCACTAATTTTCTATAGGTTGTATAATTTTATATGTATTTGAGATATAATAATAATAATAATAATAATAATAATAATAATAATAATAATAATAATAATAATAATAATAATAATAAATAATAATAATAATAATAATAATAATAATAATAATAATAATAATAATAATAATAATGCTGGTGATGTTTGTCATTATGCTTTTCTTACCTTTCGGTTACAGTCTGCTGGGTTGCAGACAAAGTTACTACGACACGCTGGCGTTGTTGGCCTTGGTCAAGCCTTTGCGGATGCGTTGAGTCTGTTTGATAGTACGGTTGAGTCTGACATCATGAGTAATCCTACTGAGGTCGCTGCCCCTAAACTTATGAAGAAATTGACAGATATATACTTCACAAGGGTTACCGCTTCTGCAGAATCTGCCTTCTCTTTATCTCCTCGACAATCAGCATTGTGGAAATCGCAGCAGGGAGATCATACCTCCGTTTGGCTTCGGGCAGTTCCTATTTCAGGGTTGAGTCAGACGATGAACGCAAAGACTTACCGATGTGTGTTATGCTACCGATTGGGTGTTCCACTGTTCTCTGTCTCGACGTCGTGCTCTTCTTGTTCAAGGGTTTTCACAAGGGATATTTTCGGTGATCACGCGGTGCCGTGTGCTGGTATGGTGGGTCTTAAAAATCGGCACAATGTTGTTCGGTATACCCTTGTTGATATTTGCTTTCGGTCAGGGATTTCTGCTAGGAAGGAGGTGGACATTGGGTTATCTGGAGGGAACGACGGGGCTCTCAAACCTGCAGATGTGTTACTTTATTCATGAGATCGTGGTCGCGATGTCTGTGTTGACTTGACAGGGTCTTCTCCATTGACACAGTTTGGGCTTTCTGACTTTGTTCCTGGACGGGTAGTGACTGATGCAGCTAATCGGAAGCGGGTGAAGTACGAATCTAGTTGTCAAGCAACATGATATGGCTTCCTTCCTTTCTCTTTCTCTTCTCTTGGGGAGTTAGAAAAGGTGGCTGTTGCATTGCTGAAGCGGATCCAGAAGTTTTCGAAGACTCAGGACATTGGGGCGCGTGCTGCAGCTCATATCTTTACTAGGATCGGCTTTTCAATAGCTAGAGGAGTGGGGACCCAGATTGTATCTCGGCTTCCCACTAATTTTCTATAGGTTGTATAACTTTGTATGTTTTTGAGATTAATAATAATAATAATAATAATAATAATAATAATAATAATAATAATAATAATAATAATAATAATAATGTTTCCTATTAATTAATTAATTAGGTGTTACATTAGTTTGAAAAATGTGATACATAATATTAAATAAAGTGCTACAATATATAAAAAACTGATTGGAAAATGTTACCTAATAATCAATAAGGTGTTACATTTGTTCGAAAAATGATCCATAATGTCGAATAAAGTGTTATTATATAATTGAAAAATGTTACCAAAGACAAGTAAGTGTTACCTAAGAAATAAAAAGTAACATTTTAAAAATTATACTAATAATATAAAAAGTGTTACATAAGAGGGTTCATAGTATCACTTTTGAAAGTGTTACCATACTACACCTAAAGTATTACATATGACCTAAGGTAACATGGGCGGAAGTATCACCCAATAAAGTGTTACTTATTGTCTATAATAACACTTTTACCACTTTATGTAATACTTTATGGGTGTTACTTAAGCTTAGTTTTGTACTAGTGGCATCAAATCTTTCTCTATTTCTCTCTTTTACACCAAAAATCATTCAATTCTCTCTCTCCCATATTCTAAGCCTTAAACCTATATTCCTAATTACACCATTCTTCCCTTGAGCACTCCAAGGAGTCCATACTTAACCCGAGGTTCCATCCTTAAACCAAGGCGTGAAAGATACAAATAATTGAGGGTTTGGACCAAATCAAATCTACATTTATTTAATTTAATTTTGATTTATATTTTTTTTATTGAAGTTACTAACAATTTATTCATGATGTAGCAATTTTAAGGAACGCGCGGAATTTGAGTAATTAATTAATTTAATTACTCTTATTTTATTTTAATATTGCTAGCATCAAGATTAGGTTATTTTATATTTGATTTGACTAACGCTATTATTGTTAAATTGCTTCCAATATTAATATTTATTCTTCTATTATAATTATGATCACCATATTGCATGTTTAAAGAGAATATGTAAATGAAAATCACGACTAATAAGATAATTTGGACAACCGGTTTAGGTTCCTTTTTTAATCTTGTTGTTTAATAAAGTGATCACAATATTTTAGAATTATATGTTGCGTTAATATTCAACCAATTTAGCATAATAATAGTTTGGAGAAAATTGAATCTTTATTTGTATGCCTTTGAGATCGCAGGAATCACTTTTCACTATAAGAATCAAGTAGAGGCCAATAAGGGCTAATGTGACTCCATGACTCACTTCGTACCATCATCCCCGATCCTCCTTTCGTGGTTCCGAACCATATGGAGTTAGTAATCTCATGGATTATGAATGGGGTGTAACCTTCACGGGTCAATCGTTGTTGCCTTTTGTTGTCCCTTAATCGTGGTTGCCTTTTATGATCCGTGAACGGTTTACAAGTTCCTTAAAAACTTATTGGCGGCTCCCTACTTTCCTTGTCCCTAATCGTTGTCCCTAATCGTATATGTCAATCTCAATTTCCTATGAGTGCTAAGCATAATCACAACATTCTTTAACGTAGGCGCACTTCGAACGACGCCTACAATTTGGAGGATTCTTGGTTATCTATCGATTTGAGTGATCGGTATTTAATAAAGATGAGTGGATGAGACTTGAAAGATTCTTGAAAATATTCCTATGATTAAATTGGCATTTTTACATATGCATAGACATTTTAACGTTGTATTTCAGGTCTGTCCCGTAGGAAAAATTGGATACCCTGGTCGTGAACGAAGAAAACAGAGGTACCGATCAGATTTCCTGACTGCCGCGCCACGACAGAGCTTGCCGTGTCACGGCGCTAGGCACCGCCACGCGGTGTTTGGCACCGTGACACGGTGGATTCTGCCTTGTCGCGGCAGTCTTGAAATCCTTCCAGTGGCCTTATTTCTCTTCTCACAGTCAACTTCCTATGGTTTTTTTGAAAAAATGTGTGTGTTTTACATATGTCTTAGCCCCGGGGGGTTTAAGCTCTATCAACTCAAAAACGCTCATAGCAATAAGGGTTCATCCGAGTTT